TTTTTTTTTACTCACTCCTTCTTCTGCAGAAAGGATATTTTAAAATTAAGTCTAATATTAATGGCAAGGGTTCTCAGAAAATAAAACTCAAGAAACAAAAAGACCCTGCAACCACCAACGGTATTTCTCCAAGAAAAGCTGCAGAGGCACTTGATCTCAGGTCTCACAAGGTGGTTTTATTGCAAAGGAAACACCAAATTACCAAAACTTGCAATTAGTCCAGCAACAATTCAGAGCCACAGTGATTTTCTGCTAAACCTAGAAGTTAAGCCTCAGAAGACTATGGCTTGGCTCAAAGCTACTTCTTAGCCATGGAAACATTTTAGAGTTTGTTCGTTTATTCATGCATGCAAGGCTGTAAGTGAGCATTTACAATGCATCCAGCAGAGAGGAAAAAGAGAGCCGGTCACTGCCCCCAGGAGATCAAGCTGACAGGAGAACCCATCCTAGCCATTCTTATCATCTTTTCTGCCTCAACTTCCCAAAGACTTGGAGGGTGTCTGACTGGAAGTGTTGTTCTTAGTTTCTATCAGTTGTGTTTATGAGCATATACAAACCTTAGATAGCTAGGATTGAACCTCATTTTCCAAGACTAACACCATCTTTTAATACCCACATTTATATTTTTTCTCACTCTCATTCTAAATTACAAATGCAGTCAACTCACCTGCCAGAGTTTCACTTGCCTCAACACTTAGCAAGAAGCCGAACACATCCAGAGATACCCACAATTCCAGAACATTCTTAAAGTGTTGCAGGACAAGAAAGAATTGTCAGCACGTGAGGGAGGAAATTGTTCAAATTCCACCAAGCATCAGGGTGAGGTGGAATGAGTGGAGACACAAGATCAATGAATAAAAAAGAAAATGAGCGAGAGGATTAAGAAAAAATGATTGAACACATCACCACCACTTTGATGGAGCAAGATCAAATACAATGGGCAACCTGACAAGCAAACAGGAAATACTGTGGTGAGCAGCCTGCTCCCCCAAGACTGAGTGGGCCTCTGCTGCATCAGGGGAAGCAGAGTCAAATTGTGATTTCAGATTTGCCCAATGCTGCTCTGCACACACACCAACCTCGCAACTCCCCTACCCTTGTCAACAAATGGGCCACGTCACCGCATTTTCTATTTATATTATGCTGGTTTGTATGTTCTTTCTTAAAATGTGTAGCTCTACTATTCTGTAAACATTTATTCTCCTGACCTGGGTGTTTTATCCTACGTCCGTACTGAGAAGGATCTTCCCAGGTGTCTTGCATGATTTCAACTTGCTTCATAACCTTTCTTAATGCCTAGCAAACCAAACCACTCAGTAGATGTTGTTGATCAACAAGTAACTATTTACAAAATGAAAGAGCAGGCCACTGCTGTGTATTGTGAGTTAATAATGTGTCCCCAGGCATTGCTCATCACAGCTGCTCCCTGCAGAAGCAAGAATTCCTGAGCAATGACTGAGCAGACCCTATTGGTTTTAGAGCCGATGGCTGCATCCCTGGAAAGGATGCCGGACCTTGCCTTGCAATCAGGCCAGTTCCCACTGGTTGGCCATTCTGGCTAGCCAGAATTTCTTCTCCTTCCTCAGCGTGGCTTTGCTTTTCCTGTTCTACACCTGGAATTTTTCCCCTAGTTTAAAACGTAGTCATTCTCCATGATAGCCTATCTGTGAAAAACTTCTGTGAATTTTTCAGGTCTCAAGTAACTAATACTTTTCTCAGTACCTATAATCGGAAATGGTCTGTACTTGGCATCTTAATTTATTTACTTTCCATCTGTACTTTTCCTTGTTTTCTCTGTCCTTGTCTTCACTTTCTTTCTTTCCTTTCTTCCTTGCTTGAGACGGAGTCTCACTCTGTCACCCAGTCTGGAGTGCAGTGGAGTGATCTCGGCTCACTGCAACCTACGCCTCCTGGGCTCAAGTGATTCTCCTGCCTCAGCCTCCCAAGTAGCTGGGATTATAGGAGCCCATCATCACGCCCAGCTAATTTTTGTATCTTTAGTAGAGATGGGGTTTTACCATGTTGGCCAGGCTGGTCTCGAACTCCTGACCTCAGGTGATCCACCTGCCTCTGCCTCCCAAAGTGCCGGGATTACAGGTGTAAGCCACCATGCCCGGCCTTATTTTCTGTCTAGATTCTACCTTGGGCGCTCATTGCCTTGCAGCATTACATTATGTTTATATGGGATCAATAAACGATTGGTGGAATGGGTGGCTCCTCAGTGAACCAGAAACTGGGTAATATTCAAGTGCACCCTCACTTGTGTGATGCTAGCCATGCACACAGTTTCATCATGTGCTAGTTACTTTGTGTGTCATCTCATTTAATACTCACAGCAGCCCAATTCCATTTAATTAATGAGAAAAATCTAGGGAAGCTACCTATTTTGCCCAGAGTCACTGTATTAGGGACAGTGATAGCCTTCTCTCTCTCTCTCTCTCTCTCTGTCTCTCTCTCTCTCCCTCCTTTATTTTGAGATGGAGTCTCACTCTGTCTGGAGTGCAGTGGAGCGATCTCGGCTCACTGTAACCTCCACCTCCCGGGTTCAAATGATTCTTCTGCCTCAGCCTCCCAAGTAGCTGGGATTGGGCATGTGCCACCACAACTGGGTAATTTTTGTATTTTTAGTAGAGACGGGGTTTCACTATGTTGGTCAGGCTGGTCTTGAACTCCTGAGCTCATGATCCACCCGCCTCGGACTCCCAAAATGCTAGGATTATAGGTGTGAGCCACCACACCTGACTAGCCAATAATCTTTATTGCTTTCTAACTCTGGTCCATGTCTCCTGACCCACAGATGTAATCATAACAATGTAATAGCTAATGCTCTTTAAAAAAAGAAAAATCTTGATAAAAGTATAATCTGTCTCTCCCATCCACCCTTCCTCTAGCCCCGCCTCACCCCCACCCCCAGCTTTTCCCTTTCTCCATTGCAGTATTGAATGTGGACATTACCCAGTATGCTAGGTCTAAGCCAGGAAATGCTGCTGTGAATAATAATAACAGGATCAACTTCTCAGTGGTGTTAGTGCGAATACGATAACACACTGTATTTTCCAGCAAATATGTCATCCTTCCACTCATTGACTTGAGGACTTGTTCTTCCTGCCTAACTCAGTCACAATCACAGCATTTGAACGGATGTGTTCTGAACCTACTGTGAAAAAAAATATCAACATAAACAATACCCAATAGTGAGAACTACAAGGTTCTCAGGCTCTCAACGAAGATTATACTGCTTGATTCTGAAGCTTCTGAGCCAGATACCACAAAGAGTGTGACAATCGCCAGTTGACAGGTGAAAGACACCAAGGTTGAGGGAAGGTGAGTGATTTACGCAAGGTGAGTAAGTTAGCAAGTAGCAGAGCCTCTTCTAGAACCAGGGTTGTTTTTATTGTTTTGTCATTGTTGTTTGAGACAGAGTCTCGCTCTGCTGTTCAGGCTGGAGTGCAGTGGCCCGATCTCTGCTCACTGCAACCTCCGCCTCCTGGGTTCAAATGATTCTCTGGCCTCAGCCTCCCAAGTATCTGGGATTACAGGCATGCACCACCACACGTGGCTAATTTTTGTATTTTTAGTAGTGATGGGGTTTCACTATGTTGACCAGGCTGGTCTCAAACTCCTGACCTCAAGTGATCCGCCTGCCTTGGCCTCCCAAAGTGCTGGGATTACAGGCACGAGCCACTGTGCCCGGCCCAGGGTTTGTTTTTTGTTTTTTTTTTAAGGTTTTTACATTTATTATGTATAAGACAGGGTGTCACTTTGTCAGCCAGGCTGTAGTGCAGTGGCACAATCTCAGCTCACTGTAACCTCACACGCCCCGGAATCAAGTGATCCTCCTACCTCAGCCTCCCAAGTAGCTGGGACTACAGGCATGTGCCACCACACCCAGCTAATTTTTTGTTTTTTGTAAAGATGGTGTCTCACTATGTTGCCCAGGCTGGTCTTGAACTCCTGGGCTAGAGCGATCCCTCCACCTCAGCCTCCCAAAGTGCTGGATTACAGGCATGAGCCACCACAGCTGGCCTGTGTTTTTCAAATTGTCGTCTTTCCCACACACGTCTGGAGACGAAGAGTCAAATGAAACAAAACTATTCACACGACAGGGCCTGGACAAAGCTAAGTGTGCACAGGACGCTAAGAGCTCTCAGCAGTGTGGAGAGAAAACCCCTTTAGCAAGAGAAGGAGGATCCTAACGCAGCCTGGGGCGGGAGACAGAGGGAGGGCAGGAGAGTGGGCACCTGCAACTTGGAACTTGGCAGGAGAGACTGTTCTTCAATGTTCTTGTTCAGAAAGCAAATGTATTTGAAATGCTGAGGACGCCACATACATTCTGTTAATAATTTACCAACTGAAACCATTAAAGATGTTGACAAAAGCTTTTCCATTTACCATGGGTGTCTGTGGGTGAGTTGAAACCACTCACTACCTTTATAAGCTCCTGGGTTAGTTCTGGGTGTCCTGGCTCATTGGCAACAGCAGAGGCAGCTTGGACCAGCAGTGGGGAGTTTTGATTTGAACATACGACTACCCTGATTCCACACCCAGGTGTTTTGTCGCTAATTCACTGAGGAACTGTTGGTCCAGTGTAACTGAATTTCCCTGGATGAGAAGCTGAATATGAAAAAGTAAATATGCATTCCCGGAAGAAGCCCATCAAGGTGTCATCAGAGTTGAACACGCAACGGAAGCAAGGAAGCAGAACATTCCTATCATCCAATAATGTCATTCTTTCAGAGGCTTCGAGGTACACAGGGACCAAAGTTCCTGAAGTGAAAGGAACAAACTGCTCTTACTGAGCAGGATGAATGAATTCTCTCAAGCCATCATTTATAAATAAGGCCCAAGCAGTACAGTACTTGCTATTTTAAAGCTCCAGATTCTTGTTCCATTTCTGCCACCCCCGGCCTCCTTGGATAAGTGTATCAGTTAGGATGCATTTTGGCTACAAATTACAGAAAAATGCAACTAAAAGTAGTTTAAACAATGAGAGCACTTACCATTTTTGACGGCTGAGGGCCGGAGTTATGGAAGTTCCAGGACAATTAGGTTGGCAGCTCCATGATCTGTGACCATCTTTCTAGTCCATCATGCCTCATGGACAGGTTGTCCTTTTAGGCCGGCTTCCTCCATGGCCCGAAGGCCATTACTGAAATATCCACACCACACAGAGATAATGAGGTCCAGAGGTGGGGAGGGAAAGTCCACTAGTCATGTCTCTTTGGAAAGCTAAGGAAACGTTCCAAAAAGCTTGGTCAGGCCATATTACCTACCTAAACGTAAACCCGATCCTTTAGCAAGGCAGATAGATAGTATCTCCATAATTAACTTACCTACTCAAGATGCACCCCCCTGATGCTGAAGAGGGAGCCCAGCCAGACTTCAGGCACCTGGCACTCAGAGGACGGGAACAAAGTTAGAGGAAAAGAGGAGAGGTCAGTTTTGCGGGCAACGAGGTGCTCTGCCACACCAAGGAACTATCACCTTTTTTGTGGCTCAGTTTCCTTATGTCACTGGGTACAAACTAGACTAGAGTTGCCCTCTAAGATTCCTCCTCCTGCTAAAAGTCCACATTCAAAGATGAAGTTGGCAATATTACCCACCATTCATGAAGAATCAATACTATTTCATGAAATAATATAATTTTCCCAGAAAATAGAAGAGATTAGAAGGAGTTAATATACAATATGTCAAATGAATGACCTCACTCTTGAAGTCCAGAATGAGGTATATCATCCATTAATCTCTACATTTCTGCAAGATAAACGAATCAGGAGAGGTAAACTGAGGAAAGGAGAAGCATAATGAGGAGCTCACAGTCACAACACGATCCCATTTATTCCCCCCGCAAGAGTTCAAAGGAGGGGAGCTCTGATTTTGCCCAAATCATTAAGTTATAGGTGGGAAAAGTCATGCCTCCAGCTCACCCACATAGGTGCAACAGTGCTTTGTTCAGGCTTGGGGAGAAAATAATGGAATTTCTATTTCTGTTTTTCTATCATACCCTTTTAATTTATATATATATATATATATATATATATATATATATATAAAATGTTTTATCATTGATGGCTCTACAGAAAAAGAAGATGCGGGCCAATAAATTGTTTACTTATAGGATATGCAGTTAAAAACTTTCCAGACAACTAGTATAGATCATACCAGCATTTTGATGGCTTCAACCATACCACATAACTGAAAGGGGAAAAAATACGTGCAGAAACTGGCACAACTGAATTTGTGACTGCTCCACACTGATGAAGCAGGGTAGCACCGAATCTGGATTTAGAATACTGTACTTGCGGCCAATACAGTATTGTTTTTATTTGTTGATCCTTTCAAAGGCTCTTCTGTTTACCAGGAGACCAATTCTATTATTGTTTTCCTCTCCCCACTGCCCCGCCCTGCTTTTTTAAAGAATCTCCTATTCTAAAAGTGTTAGGCTTGACCTATCTGGTGCAACAAATGTAGCTTACTAGGGCAGTCAGGAAGTCAGAAGAGCTTTGTGGGTTCCCACAGTTTGTTTGCTCATTCGATTAACAATCATGCATCTACTAAGTGCTAGATGTGAGGCTGCAAAGATATTCCAAGACTCCTAGAGTTCAGTGTGAGGAGGAGGACTCCCCAGTCCAGAGAGAGACTGAGAAGGTGGTACACTAGCTGGCTACAAAGAAAGAAGACCAGGAGCAGCCCATTGAGGGGGTGTCAGGAAGTCGGAGTTGGATAGGAGTGGGGGACCAGGAAACCTCTCTAGGAAGAAATGGCTCTTAACCCTTTACGGAGAGGAGCAGGCCAAGTGCCACTTTTCTTCCATCAGAAGAAAAATATAATGCACTCTCACCTGAGCAAGGAGATGCAGGTTGGAGTGAGGAGTTTCTTTCTTCCTTTGTGTGTACCTTATCTCTGTCTCCTTCCAGCTTTGCATGGCTCTGAAGGTGTGGCCTGGGTGTGTATCTTACACTCAGCAGACTGTAGCGTTCCCAACACAAGAGCTGCGTCGCCTAGCCCAGCCCAGGGCACTGCACCGAAGGACACACAGAACACGCAGCTCCCACCAGTGCCCAAGTGCTTAAAGGCAAATGTGTCTTGGGGGCCTTTGCAGAACAGAAAATTATACAGCAATGATTGTGACAGATGTGAGGCTAGGAGAGTGGGTTGAAAAACAACTGTATTTCATTCTGTTTAATCCCATGTATATGTCACTTAAGGGTTAAAAAAAATGCTGATTCATTGAGTTTAATCGCAAAATCTGCTGTAAGCAAATTGTAACCTAACCTTCAAATTCATTCTAATGAATTCACATTTTTAAACTGTACACTGGAAGAAAGACTAAACTTTTTACTCAGAGAAGATTGTTTTTCTTCCACCCTCTTTCCTTCTTCCACACTTCTTTTTTTCCAGGGCTTAGTTCAGTCGTGGCTTAGAATCAGGCTTCCTGCTCTAATTCAAAGTGTGCCGGGTGGTGTAGAAAAAAGTATCTATGTCATGATTCAGCATAAGGGCTCTCGAAGCCACTGTTTTTGCTGCTTTCAGAAGAAACATGGCAGGATTGCCTAATTGTTCCTTCCTGAAACATGGAAGAAAGGCATGCGGAGACTCAGAGTCAGAAGGGCAAGAGTAGAGTTTTGTAAGAAGCAGAAAACACGGGTTTTACCATCAAAATAGGAAATCCATCAAAGGACTATGGTGCTTAGTCCCTGTCAATTAAGACGGGAGGGGAGGGGATAGAGTGGGCGAGAAGTTAATCTAGATCCAGAATTCTGTAATTAGGTGGTTAAAAAACAAAGCAAAACAAAACCAAGCAGAAAAATAAAAAAAAGCAGCCCTTACAGCCAACCCCTACACGTTGTTCAAGTTGAGCAAGGAAACTGGAATTTGAACTTAAGGTGCAGGGATCAGCTTAACATCCCAAAGTAGGTGCTCTCTCTGAGGACAACAACCAGGGAGCATTCTAGAACCTTCCCTCACTGGTGGAATACACTTTAACACTTGTATCTTTTCCAATATTGAGGTGAATTTTTAAGAATAAATGTAAAAATGTTTAAGTCAAACAGACATTTTTGTCTCAGTTTTACAAAGATTTCACCCAAAATGCAGCTATTACCAAAGCCTAGATTTAGTCCCTCTGAATGGAGAGCCCTTATTCCTTTTTATTCACACTACCCTTCATTCTCATACCAAATATGCTTCAAAACCTGCCTTAAAAAGACCAGATTAAATGGGCCGGCTGCGGTGGCTCACACCTATAATCCCAGCATTTGGGAGGGTGAGGCAGCCGGATCACGAAGTTGAGAGATCGAGACCATCCTGGCCAACATGGTGAAACCCCATCTCTACTAAAAATGCAAAAATTAGCTGGGTGTGGTGGCGCGCGTCTCTAGTCCCAGCTACTCGAAAGGCTGAGAGAGGAGAAATGCTTGAACCCGGAAGGCGGAGGTTACAGTGAGCTGAGATCCCGCCATTGCACTCCAGCCTACCTAGAGCGAGACTCTGAAAAAAAAAAAAAAAAAGAAAAAAAAAAAAAAAAAGGCAAGATGCAATGCAATGCAAGGAAACTGCAATTTCATTGATAATTTTGGAGAATAAGGGGGGAAATATCTATCTTGGGTAACACAGAAGCCATGGTCATGAAAAGGTAGCTGTCTGAAGGTTCGTGACTTTAATGTAGACATTCAGTTCTAGTCATGTCTCTCTCTCTCTCTCTCTGTCAAAGTACATTTTAATTTGTAGTTGAAATTCTCTGTAATTTATTTACCTGGTTGATTAAAAATCTCTCTCTCTCTCTCTTTTTTAATCTAAAGCAGACGTGGTGTTGACTGCATTTCTGAGTAGATTCCATCTCAATAACCATCATTGAGAGACGTGCAGAAACAACCACTCAAAGGAGCCGGCAGCCAAGCGGCTGAGCCTCCAGTTAGGTGCAGTTTAAAGTACCCAAGCTTTAAAGATTAAACAAGACTATGTTGTTCTTCACTGACCTTTTCATTCCTTCTTGTGACTAGCCAGAAAATCTGAGGCTGAGGTGAAAATAAGAGGAGGATGGGGTGACTATGTTTTATGGTAAATGTGTTTCCAATTTGATACGTTTTTCCAAAGCTATGTCTTGAAGGTGGATGTCAGTTTACAAAAATAACAAAGTCATAGTCACAATCTCAGATTCTAATCAAATATTTGCCTTCCATTATAAATTATTTTTGGCTGGTGCCTTCTTTTTAAAATTATTTCTCCGTTTATTTCTTTGAAACTATAAATATAATGGAAGTGGTAATACATCATTTCAAAATTCTGGACAATTTCTTTCTTCCTGTTTCTCTCTTAGGTCAGTCTTCCACTTTCACTGTTGTCACTGAAAACTTGTCACTTACTTATAAGGCAAATGGCAAAAAAATAAGATTTTTTAAAATGGCATTGCCATGAAATTTAGAAAATAATTTCCTAAATTATAATCTTCGGAGCAACTGTCGTAGCTGAATTCACCAGGGTGAGCTCTCCAGCTCTGACTGTTGACCTTGTTTTAGCAAAACGCACATCAGTGTCACACTCAGTGTTTGTGGCCAGGTCATCTGACATGTCTGATTTAAACAAAATGAGCAGGGACTCTGAAGTTCTAGGCAATATGTGAGTCATAACAAACACATTCTACTTCGTCTTTTATTCAGCTAGTCATTTCCACTGCAGAAGGTTTATTTGAGAATTGTTGTGCAATTGTTTTTACTTACAGTATGTCTGATTCCCTGGACTCAAGGGTTCGCAATCTAGGAGATCAGAAATGGCAAAAAAAAACACATCTCTCCTCATCCTATGGGAGTCAAGGATCTTCAAAAACAAATCAAGCAACCAAAACAAAATTCAAAAGAGATATACGGGAGATAACTATATCATTGTAAGCTATTAAGAAAATGTAATCAAGAAATAATATGTGAGCAGCCATGAAACAAACAATGTAGTTTATGAGATCCAGCGAAGTCACAGTAACATTCCCCAACCCCCCGGATATAAAGAAATGAACATAAACTTAGAGCTTGAGCCTGAGAATTGTAGCTCAGAGGAAAATAAAATTGAAACCCTCAACATCCTTCAGTCTAACGGAAGAGAAGCACTTTTTCTGAGCACCTCGGAAGGCATGTGGGGTCATCTTAATTATAAT